TAGTAGTCTTTAGCTTTCTGTCTATGTTTACTTCCAAAGTTATAGCAGTGCTGCATTTTTTTTAAGAAATACTTCACCCAGAACCAAGCTTATCCTCTTATATCAGCTCTGCTAAATCTCCTAAATCATTTTTTTTCTTTTAATGGATGTGCGGACATTACACTTTATTGTAACACCTGTGAGAACAGCTACACTGGTCACTAGTCAATATTTCTTTGCTTTTTTGAGCTGAAGGATGACGTTGACTTAACAACACTTGAATGCTTGGTTTATTGCGTCAAACTTGATCTGCAGCTATGCTTGAGCATCTTGCTCAGGAATGCTGTGACTCAAGTGCTATTCAGTGAATTAAAACCACGTCTTACTTGGTAAATATTTCAATAAGCTTCTTTCTGTTCCTCCTCGGCTCTGAATCCTCATCAAACTCCTCAATCTCCTTCCCCAGAAAAACCTCCTGATGGAAGTCCTTATTGAGGTGGCCGTCCAGCTCCATCTTCAACCCGTTCAGGTGATCTGGGGGAAGAATCTCGTTCTCGTCTTTGCTGGATGGAGACTTATCTTTAGAGGCCGACATGTTGGCTGGCCGTGCGTGCACATCGATGATGTGGAGGAGCATGTAGAAAAGCAGAGAGACAGCCAGGAGGTTTCTGCACCACAGTTTCCTCCAAACAGCCATGTTTACCTCTGGATGAAAGGTCAAAGCAGGGCTATAAAAATAATCAAGACATAACAATTATTGTCCTGCTTTTTTTATGCACCAATTTTGCCTTTCCTTTATATAAATGTGCATTTCCCCTTCTCTAAAATCCCAAACCCATTCCTCGAAAGGTGGCAGCAGATTTAGTTCAGCTTAAATTCTAGAACTATTTTCTTAAACGTTCAACAAATACAGGTTGTTGAGTTATTGTCATAGGTGTCATACTGCCAGAAAACACTAGAAAACGGCCCCACTACTCCCTACCCCTAAAACAGAGGAAATAAAATATTTACTTATATCATAATCTGGCTGAAAAGAAATCATAAATTAAGACAATTATATGCAAGAAATCCAATAAATATAAACTAAAGGACAAAGGTGTTTTTATATGTGTTTAAAGTGTGTTGATAGATTCAAGAAATCATTTGATAAACAATACTGAGGCAGAGTCTCTATTCCTCAGACCCTATCCTATCACCCTGTTTTGTTTTTACCAGTGTTTTATTCTTTTTAAATGGTACCACAGTCATATCCATTTGCGTAGGCATTTGCCTATGGAAAGCTCTTTTCACCCTACAACAAACAGACCAGTAATACCACATTCTTTTTTTAATCTCCATGGCGGTCTGTAGCTCCCTACGTGTGCTCTGCCAATCAAAAACCATGTTCAGCCCATTAATCTACAATATAGAGTCTACATTGTTGTCATCCAGATCCTTGATGAGATCTTTTCTGTCTCTATTTAAACATCTACATGTAAATTATAGCCTCCACCATTGTCTGTTGTACCCTTCCATCCTCTTGAGCATCAGTATGAATGCTGTGCTTTTTCAGCGATTCAGTTTACATTTCTGTGTTGGTAAGGCCTTCATATATATGTTGCCATTTTCTCCTTTGCTCGTTTCAGTGCTGAAGACAACAACCCATTTCCTATTCTGTTTGACGAGTATAATCACTCAGATTTTAGTTTTTTGTTTTTTTTAATTCTCTCCTACTCTGGTAAACTTACTGCATTAGTGTATTTAGGTTAATTCAATATTCCATGTGCTCATTTTAAATTAAATACCATTCAGGGTTTCAAAAAAAAATTAAAAATACAAAAATGGGAAACGAACAAACAAAAATCGACTTCAGTGTCGCAACGACACAAATCGATACTTTCGCAACTCAAACACGCCCACTTCTAAACCCAGTAAATATTGTCAGAAATATGCATAAAGCCATTTTTCTGTACATTATTCTGCTGAAATATTGACCACGGGTACACAACAGAGGAAAACTGCACCAGATATGCACATAGTAATAAAAAACATGCAAAAATACGCAAAAGTTAAACAAACAAGCACCATCATAAATTAACACTGGTCAGCAAACTCACCAAAGCAAAATAAATTTAACGAATTTATTAGATCACTTAACAAAAACCCCCCTCCAGACTTATTAGCAATTCATCAGTTATAAAACTAATAATAGACTTAATTATATAGTAAGTAAGGACATGTCTCCCCCCCCCTCCGAGCTACAAACGAACAGGAACGTTACTTATTTATTTATTTATTTATTTATTTTAACTCTGCCTAAACTCACGTTCCTGCCTAATGTCCGCCTTAATATTCATTTGGGAGCTGAAAAGTTACACGAACACTAGCATTTTAGTAAAGCAAACAACAGCTAGCATGCTAATTTAGCTTCGTCATGTCTTTTTAAACACTGGCGATTAGCACGGGCAGGCTAACACGTTAGCCCTCGTTGCTAAGGAACTAAAATAACTGTTGTTACGGCAGTAAAGGAAGACAGTGATCGCAGAGATTAACAATACCTTAAAACATGACCAGAAAATGATTTGTAGATAAGTTCTGGACTTACCAGTTAGCTGTTAATACCAGTAGTAACTTTCTAGTCAAACAGACCTTCGCTGGTTCCTCTAGATCCAGTTCCTGTACACGTGGCTCACCACACAACACTCTCTTTCCAAAGTGTGGGATGGTTCAGTCTGAAAACAAGCCCAGACAGACCCAGGTCAGTCGCCAAGTCCAAGCTGAGGTTCCAGTTAGTGTCAAAATTAAGAGAGGCTGTCTCTAACCGGACACCGCTGGATGACTGGGAATACAGGATAATTTCCGGTCAGCCCTTTCAAAGTAAAAGGATGGATGTGGGGGTATGAGGAGTGTGGTATAAAAACTTAAGTAGCGGTCCCGTGTGAAAAGGTGTTTGCTCCCTAAACCTTATAACTGTTTCTGCCACTCCTAACAGCAAGAATTGGGTTTGTTTTTCGTATTATTATTCTGCTGTAGGCCAAGTGTGCTTGAGGTTTAGCGTATAAACTCATGGTTTCAAGTTGTCCAGACCATCAAATTACCACCACCATATTTGTCTGCTTGACTTTATATGAAAGGCCATGTTGGTTTTACACTAGATGTAACGGAAAGCTTGAATGTAACAGAATATTTCCCCAGAAGGATCATTAATTACTTTTTCACATAGAAATTACGTAGGTTTCAGGTGTGGAGAGTTTTTTAAAATCATCATTTAAAAACTGCATTGTGGATTTACTTAGGTTATCTTTATCTAGAATTTGACTGATGATATTAAAAAAAAAACAAAAACAAATAAAATATATCATTAAAAAAACATTTAATTGTTTATACAATGTACGTTTTCACAGCACTGTACATTGATAGCTCACAGATTCAGAAAAAAATGGAAAATAAGTTAAAAAAAAGCAAAACATTAAAAAAAATCTTTAAACACTTAAAATTAATCAATAAATTAAAAGTTAGCTTATAGACAAAACTTTAAAAAACTAAAAGAAACTGATACATAGCCCATGCAATAGATATAATTTTAAAAACAACTAAACACATACTAAAATGTAACATTTTTAGCTTTTGAGTATAATTAAATCACTAGAACAACAACAGATAAACAGTTGTACAAAAAAAATTACAAAATAACTGACAGTAATGCTAAAAGCAACATTAAAATACTAATAAAGGTTTATCTTAAAAGTGGAAATAGTGCTAGATATAAGAAATCAGTGGTCTATTTTAGTGGTCTAAAACAGAAAATATTTAAATTTAATAGATATTTAGAGTAAAGATAATTAATTAAAAAAAAAAGTAAAGCATTAACAAAGGTTAGTTAAATGAAATTACTGTCAATATTGTAAACAAAAAGTAAATGCCAGGGAGCTAAGCTGAAAATTGAAATTAATATCTCAAAGCTTCAAGTTAGGCATCTTGAATTTACTAAGCCAAAAATGGAAAATATGAAAAATTGAAGAACCTAATGTCACCTTAAGATCTATGTGTGTGTGTGTGCGTGTGTGTGTGTGTGGTAAAATTAAAGCTATAAAAAGCACAAAACACACAAGAACCATAAAAACCATAAACCATAAAACCTTACACATGTTTTACTATTTGCTCCAAACTGCCAAACGTTATTTATTTATTTATTTATTTATTTTTATTTTATGTTGAGCGTAAGACTTTTTCCTTTTATTTTGAATTTAAGATCACGTATTTCCTGGACTGATTTTGTCGTCTGCTGTTGAGCTTGGTGCTTCTTGGCTGCAACTTCCTGCTACGTCTTCGCACAAAAGGCAGGAAGTGAGATGTCACTGGTAAATGTTTGTATTTCACGCCGCTACCTCTAGATGGCACTGCTTTAAAATGTAAAATTGGCAAACAAATGAAACGGCAGTCTAAAATTTTAAGTTAAAAAAAAAAAAATATGTGGTATGCACTCATGAGCTAACATGTTATTTATTAGAAACAATCTGGCAGGGTTGAATTCCTTTTTGATGAATGATTGTAGAAATACCCAGACCAGTAATTTATTCACATCAGCCATGATTATTTAGTGAAACATGCAATTTCTACTCCTTTCCTCTGGGAGTATTCAAAGAATTGAACACCAACACTGAGTAAAACAAACAGGTATGTACTGTAGTCTAGATTTCTGTCCCTGGCATACTTTCAAACAACAGATTACACAAGATAATGTCTTAAGGTCACAAAAAGGTGCATGAATTAGTTTTTACTTCTAGCTTGGAGCTTTGGTAAATCAGGCCTGTATTGAGGCATAGACAACTTTGTACACATCCCATAACTTGTCTGCCAAGAAGCTCTTCAGAAGTGAGATAAAACAGAGCTGAATCAGCTGAGGCTGCCAATAGAGAGAGTCAAAAGAGACGTGGAGAGAGAGAGAGAGAGAGAGAGAGAGAGAGAGAGAGAGAGAGAGAGAGAGAAGGACAGGGGGAGGGAGAATGGGTGATGATAAAACTCCACTGTGAGCCCTCCTGTAAGCTCAGTCAGAAAGCAAAGGAGCAGCTGGGACCAGAGAGGTAGGGAGTGCAGTGGAGCAAGGCAAAAAGAAAAAAAAAAAGAAAGAAAAAAAGAAAAAAAGAGACCCACCGGGCACCAAATCTCTGCACATGGACTTGTTGGGACAGTCAGTAGGCAGCACCTGAGTGACCACTTTAAGGAGAAAATAAGGCCGGCTAAGATCAATACAGGACTTCAACTGTCTTCTCTTTGGCATCCCCATGGATGCACGCAGATTGATCTGAATGCTGATCTGCATCTTTTGATCTGAGCCCAACTTCTGTGGATATTGCAGCTTTTTCCAGCTACCACACCAGTCTGCTGAAGCCTGGACTCTATTGTTGAGTTTAAGAAGCAGCGGGGGAGAGCGAGGGAAAAGAGAATATTGCCATCCATCTCTAAGTCCCTACAGCCCACCCTCAGCTTTGGACGCCCCTCCTCTCAGCCTCTTCTTTTGACCCCCTGTGCCCTCCACAACACCCCAACCCAACCCCCTTCAGCACCTCCACCCCCCCAACAGAGCAGAAAGCGTGAAAAATCTCACTAATGGGTTTATTTGCTGTCAGATCTCCACAGATCTGTCATTCCCTTGGACCATTCTGCTTGACACATTTCATAGTTGAGTAAGCCTCCTGGAAGTCTGGCTAGATTTAGCAGTGCCCCTGCAAACGCTGGGCTGGCTCAGAGCTCATCAAGAGGGGAGCAGGAGTCAGTCTGACAGTCTCTTGGACAGGGAGTCCCTGAAGCTGCATTCCTCCAGTCTCTTGTGTTTGTAAGCCTCGTGGGCATCTTCAGCTTGCGTCCAACCACACGACTGGTCCTTTTCCAGAAGATTCGGGTTGTTTCTGCAGGGATTCAGGTGCTGATTGAAAGACTGTGAAGATGTGGTGTGGGGCTATGCCTCTGGCCGTAGTGGCTGTGGTGTTCTGGACCCAGTGTGTCCTTCTAGATGGAGTGGATGCCAAGAAGGAGAGGAAGAGGCCAAAGGAGCCCACTCCACAGCACACAGAGACGTACAACACAACTCTATCCAACAGTGAAGAAGTTGGTGGGACCATCAAGGTATTAAATTCCAATGCAATTTCTTTTTAATATATATTTAGGACTTCAGATTAGTTTAAGGTTGCCTTGCAGATATGTGACATATACCTGTCGGCACAGGCTGTATAGAAATAGATAAATAAAGTGTGGCAAAGGTCGGGGCAGGTGTGCCCTGCCAGGTCAGGCCTCATACAGTTTGATGGACCAAAATGTGTGAAGCTCTAAATAGATGACTTCCCAAGGCATGCCAGGAATGTGGACATCTAAAGGGTGATCAATGCGTCAATTAGTGTGCGCTGCGGGTGCCTGCCTCCAGTGTTTCAGCTTATGTGAACAATTCAGGGTGCAGTAAAGCGAGATGAGGTATTTACAAACCTCTCAACACAAGAACAGTGTTTTTATTAGAAATGAATCCCGCTTACATAACAACATTGCTGCGGTACACTTCCATTTTCAGGAGCAACAGTCGGCCCTTGACTCTGTTATTTATTGGTTTATTGCTGGTGTTGCATATTTGTGAAACTTTCCAACAGGCTATTTGTTTTGCTTTCAGCCCACCCATTATGTTGGCATTCTCATGTAACTCTCACTGCCCTATATACCAGCCAGTCTCGTGGTAACCTCCACTCCTTTCCCCCCTCTTCTAGAAACCACACAGTGAGGTCTTCTTTGTGTCTCTAAGAACACTTTGTAGGTGGTTGTGGCCTGGCGCTGTTTATTTGACTTGGTTCGCCCAGTAAAAACAACAGCTATGAAGGATGACCTTGTGTCAGCCCTGAATCTTGGTGAAGATTGCACCCCACCGGGATCTCGCTGGTCTGCCTCGTCCCACAGGGAGCAGGGTGTCCTCACAAACACTGCTGCTCTTGGATTGCCTTGTAGGCAGTGATGTGACTCCTGGGAAAGTTAGCTGGAGAGGTATTATAGTACCTGTGGTGATGTTTTTCCCAGCCCATTGACGCTGTCATTCACAGGCCTACCCCGACTCCGCTGTGTCTGGGACATCCGATAGGGGCGGTGTGGCCCTGAAAACTGGGGCAGCATGCCGTGTAAGCCCCTCACAAAGCCCCATAGAAAGGGCCCTGAAAGGGAACACCTCTGTGAGGATTATCCCCCTTTGCCTCCCTCTCTAACATTCTTTTCATCTCATCTCCCACAATCACAGGGTAATGGCATAATCACTCTTAAGACGCAGTGTTATGCCCGACAGTGTCTTTGCCAAACACTGTCACCTCTGATAGAACCTGAGATTTAGGCGTGACATCTGTGGAAGAGGTTGCATTGAAGGTCGCATTTGTCAGTGCCACTCTTTCTGGGTTTCTTTTGGCGGGTATAGAGAAAAAGAAAAAAAAAAGCATGCCACACATCATGAAAAGTGGTAAACTTGCTTGTCTTGGGTAGTTTGTTAGTTTATCCTATTACACATCTGTTAGGGCTCAGAGAAAACAGCACGTCCATTGGAGCTGTCTTGGCAAGCAATTTGTATTCTCAAACAAGCCAAACATTTACACTCCAAATTTACATTTTTTCCCCCTTGTGCCCAGTGGAAACAGTTCTTATGATGGCATTCGTTTTCTATCTGACCAATCCTGTGTGTGGGCTGCTGGCAGTGGGCAGTCAAACCCTGCATTCCTCTGGAGATTTTCCATTTGAAAGTGATCACAACAGTGAGGTGTGGAGCTACGCTGTGAGAGGAAATTTTTTAATGAGATGATGAACATTTCAAACAACCGTGATCTCTGCGAGCCGTCACGTCTCAGAGGTTTAGTACAGTGCGTTAAAAGTACAAGGCTTATTGTGCACCCTGCTCTAAAGATGAGAGGAATCTGTCATTGCCGAGCGGAGTGAAGGATCTGTGATGACTGTAATGGAGGGAGTCAAGTCAAACATCACGCCTGGCGTGTTGAGTAATGGCTGGGTTTAGCCTGAGGTGAGGGTTTTTGTTTCCTCTCTCTCATCTGTAGTGATGATTAATACAGCGGCGTGTGGGACCTTTTGGATCAACCCACACATTGAGACAAAACTGAGTCCCTCAGGAAACAAGGCCACTGTGAGAGCACACACCTCCCATGTTTACTGTGAAGAGTCCACAGTAAACTCTAGTTTCAGCCTGTCAGACAGTCAAAAAGGTTATGCTTATTTAACCTAATGGAGTCATAAAACAGAGGGAAAAAGAAACAAATAACAAACACTGTTTTGCGTTACATCTGAACTTGGGCAGTAAAATAAACCACACTGTTGTGTTTTCACCTCCCAGACGCTGTTTTATTTTGATTTTGTCTGCAGCTTCAGGTTGATGCTGGATTTATATAAAAATCCCTTAATCTTGCCTGATTCTTATCATGAGTTGGTCATGTTTCTGTAACTGCTATATCCAGAACTTCAGCAGTAAATTCATCAACTGTGGCTTAAACAAAAACCAACTGCAGAGGTCATTAATCATGGCAGGATTTTACTGAGAACTGATAATGTAGATGCATATACAGCGCACTCCGATATGAGTGAGGAAGAGGCAAAGTATTGTATATATATAAGTATATAGTGCTATGTATTTCTTCAGGTTTGATTAGCTGATTTATTATCCATCCATGCATCCATCCATCCATGCATCCATTCATTCTGTGCTGCTTATCTGGGTTTGATTTGTGGGGACAGCACTCTCAGCAGAGAAGCTCAAACTTCCCTCACCCCAGCCACCTTCTCCAGCTCATTCAGGGGGACACCGAGACATTCCCAAGCGGGTCCTGAGTCTGCCTCAAATTTCCAGGGGGCATCCTAGTCAGATGTCCAAACACCCTCAATTGGCTCTTTTCGATGTGGAGGAGCAACCACTCTACTTATTTTTTATTGTACCTTGAATATAATGACTACCCGGGTCAATGTTAGCTTGTGTTAATGCTAGCTAGAAACCGAGGACACACTGGAGGGATTATATCTCTCAGCGGGCTTGGGAATGTCTTGATGTTCCCTCGGATGAGCTGGGAGAAGTGGCTGGGGAGAGGGAGGTCTGGGCTTGTCTACCTAGACTGCTGCCCCAACGACCGAAAACTGGATAAAGGGCAGAACATGGCCGGATTGCTCCTTGGACAGATTCAGTTTTGCTAAATTTGGACTCGTTTCTTGCATTCAAGTGACTCGTAAATTAGTCACCAGGAGCGTTCCTAGTATGTGGTTATATAACATAGTTCAGAACAATATTGGAATCATGTAAAAAGAGGAAGATCTCATGAGTTTTTACTGTGAAGTGGCAAACTGTGATCTGTGATGGTACAGCATAGGTAATGCTTTTCAACAGCTCATTTTACCTACCACAGGGAAAATGAGCACTCACTTCCAATTTCAAAGCTATAATTTGTACACAAAACAGATGTGACACAACGATCAAAGTGTCTTTCAGCTTAGATTGCTTTTTATATGAAGAGGAAGCTGAGATTGTCTTGAGCATAAACACAAATTTATTCACTTTCTCTCGTATGCTAGAAGTGCAACTTTGTTGGGACAACAAAGAGGCAGTTAGAAAAAAGCTCAGGACATATTATGAGAAGAATGTTTGACCTTATCATTAAATAATAACTACATTTAATTTACACTTCCAAATATGCCCCTGTGTGATAGAGTAATTATGTTTTGCACACTGTGTTTGCCAATTGAGTAATAACACAGTGTGCAGAGAGCCGAGTCAACATTGCATGCTTAACTGTATTTACCTCTTCAGTGATAAATCTTCGAATCAATCTGTGTCTGTGAAGCGCAGCGGTGGGGAACACGTGGGCGGATGCATGACAACTGAGATGCACGCAGGTTAGCAGGATCCCCTCGTCCCACACAGCCTGGGGATCCCTGCCTTCTGGGGCGGTGTTGGCCCAGCGTAAGGCCCTTCCACCCATGCATGGATGACTGCACAGGGAGCAGTGCAGGGATGTAAAAACAAGGGATTAGAGATGACTCTTAATCATCCTGTCCAACCTTAAACCTGCATGCGGAACACTTTTATCATCAGCAAAATGTTTCATGTTGTCGAGTGTGTACGAGCAGGTAGAAAAACAGATAAGGCAGAAGTGAAAATAAGATAAGTTTTTTTGTACGCACACGGAAGAATTCAGGAGCTGCCTGCAGAAGAGTAGAGTTTCAGTATCTGGTTGCAGCCCCAGAGACATGTTTTAACAGTTGTGTTTGTGTTTTTGGTGGCACGCTGCCCCAGGGAAATATTTCCCATTTTATTGCTTCAAATAAATTCTACTTAATTTTCCCCAAACTACATGACAAACACATTTAAAGCGGCGTACGAAAAGATTTATTTGTGCAGACCCAGGTCGGTCTTCTGTGGATAATAAAATCTTATAGGCTTCTGCGAATGATCAACAATCATCACAACTGATCCACTAATTGATCCAAAAGCTCTAAACTCACCATGCTGCGGGTTAATAAAACCATCTATCTTCACTCTTATGGTAAGACATGGATGCCAGGCACAAGCAGTGGAAAATAATTTGGTGTATTTGCTCAAATAATAAGTACTGCACAATATTTAGGCACTTTCACTTCAGTATTTGAAGTATTTTTGCTTCGTACTCAACTTTATTCGGTTTAAGAAGCAACTATTGTGCTTTTTACTTCACTCTGTTAAAGATTTTGAACATGAAGCAGTAAAAACTACCAATTTGAAAAAGGAATAGAAAAGAATAAAGATATTTTAAAAATTGCTCTCATGCTAAATGAACACTTACTTTTTGATGAAATCAGAAAAGTTGCCTCTTTCTCATTTCTCTATAAATAACTAATGCATCAGCTTTAACACTTACATAATGGTAACACATACACTGAAAACATGTATTTTTATTCTTAATCCCAAAACACTGACAAGCTTTACTTAACAATATTATGAAATATAAATTACAGGATTTCTTTCTCTCTGCCATTTAGAGCTGGGTCGCTTAGCCCAAGCTGATGACCACAGACAGGAAGCACAGCTAGCCAGGCTTTTGATTTTTTCTTGTTTTATAATACAAGATCAAATTATG